AAAATAGAACCCCTCTTTCTTAGGGAAGAATTTATGAAAAATTACTCAATTTTCTAAAAAATAAAAAATAAATAAATATATATATAAATTTAGAACAAAATCTTCCCTATAGCAGGGTAAAGACTACAAGTTACACTTTTTTTTTAACAGTGTACAACTTGGGGGATGAGGGAAGGGAGTTTTCAAGACGATGGTGGAGTTTGAAATCCCGACCACCTCACCCAAGCACTTTAAAGTTTGGGATCAAATCATTGGGTCTAAAGTCACGGTTCGTTACACTTTTAATCTGTATGTACCCTTACAAACAACATAAAAAATTTACTTTTAATCAATAATTTCTGAAAATAGGTCCACGTCCTGCAGGCCTGTAGTGGATAATATATTTAAAACCCAAAAGTGACAGAACAATTAATAGTTATTTTAATAAAAATATTATAGTTATAATATTATTTAACATTGCAAATTTATAATATAATTTATTATTATATAATTAATTTATTTTATTTAAAAAATTTATTTATAATATTATATACAGTTATCTATAATATCATATATCTACTTATTTATTATTACGGCAAAGTGGACGTCAATCCTACCTCTCAAAAAAATTTGAAATCCCAAACCCAAAACGACGTCGTTTCTCTTAATGGTGCCCCCCTACTATTTTCTGCCCCTTCTGGAATCACCTCTGTCTCTATCTACCTCGCCTCCTTGACTCCTTCGACCCTTCTAGAATTATCTCCATCTCCCTTGCCTATTTTTTGCCCCTTCTGGTCCTACCCCCATTATTTTTCACCTCATTTGGAATCGTCTCCGTCTCCATCTCCCTCTCCTCCTCGACTCCTTGTTTTCTCTACAGGCTCTCTTTTTTTCAATTTTGTTTTGTGGTGGTTTTCGCTCATCAACGGTGAACCAAGATGGGCGACAAGGGTATCAGTCTTGAACAGACCAAAAACGAGATTGTTGATATGGTATTCTTCCATTTTTCCAGAGAAAAATTTTTATATTCCCTGTTGTTTGTCTCTGTTTGGCTATTGTTATGCAATGAAAATAAGATCTTTATAGATCTCGAAAGCTGTTTGTTTGGATTGCTGTTGTGTTTTTCTTTTCGTTTTTTATTTTTTTGCTCATTTTCTCATTGATGATTGTAGCATAGATCAATTAAATGCACGATTTTCTCTATTTTTCCCGAGAGAAAAATTTTAATTCTGTTTTTTCCATGGGAATATGATTTTACTCTAGTCCAGTCAAAGGGTGTTTAAATTTATTTTTCATTATTTTTGAATTTGATAAAAAAAATTGAAACCAATTATTGGCCTCCAAGTGGAAATGGAATCTGATTCTCTCCTATTCGTGCTCGTTTTCTAGCCAGCCAAACAGACCTGTACCAGATGGTGACCAAAAATGGATTTGAGACAATGGAGTTGGCGATGGAGTGACTCCAAACGAGGCAAAAAATAATGGGGGTAGGACCAGAAGGGTCGGAGGAGTTGAGGAGGCGAGGGAGATGGAGACGGAGGTGGTTCCAAAAGGGGCAAAAAACAATAGGGGTAGAATTAAAAGAAACGACGCCGTTTTAGGTTTGGGACTCTAAATTTTTTTGAGAGATAGGATTGACACGCACTTTGTCGTTATTATTATATTTTATTTTATTTAAGATTATAAAATTGTAAATTTATAATTTTAGATGGGAGTGTAATTATAAAAAAAGATAAGAAAAAAAGTGACACACTGCGGTCAAAGTTGGACCCAATATCACGCTCCCTTGTCCAACTATACAGGAAAAGTAAAAAATAGGGACAAAATCAAAAGAAACAAAAAATGTCCTCTACGGAACTCTACCAAGCGGCCTTATGGCCGCGCGCTTCATTAAGGTCGGTGAACTGTTCATCAGATCTGAGGATCGAATTCTCAATTGTTAACATCTAACAATACTAATTTACTAACTATTGCCCTTACCCAAAAAAAAAAAAAAAATGTCCTCTACAAAAGCTCTATACTTAATGATTGTATTGACTATTCTATTTGCTTTACGGTAAGTGTGCGTGATGCGCACACCGTCAAATCTCTGAATCAACAATATGCAGCAAGCAACTAATGCTTTATGAATTTTCTTTGCAACAAAAATATCATTTAATATGTGAACAACAAGCATCAAGTTAACTTCTAGTACTACATTTTTAACATCTAGTTTTAGTACTAACTCAAGTCCAATTTTTGAGCCCCCAAAGTTGAACATCATTATTAGTTCCAAAACCTAGATTTTTGATAAATCTAACAATTCAATTGCCTTCTTGATCCTGAATAACACCCCTAGCACCTGCCTTTTGTAAGTGTGGTTAGATGAACCATCAAAGTTTAGTTTAAACAAACTAGGCTGTGGTGCTGACCACTTATCCAACTAATTGAAGAAAAGGCAGGAAGAGATCAAAGGGAATGCTTTAAGACCACATAAAAAGGAGAGAACGGTCCGTGGGGAAAGGAGAAACGGTGACAATAAGAATTTTAATTTTTTTTATTTTTTATTTAAAAATTATTTTAACAATAATATTAATATAATAAATAAATTTTTTAATAAAAATTAAAATCTTTAAATAAAAAATATAAAACTAAAATTTTTGTTAACAACTTTTATCGTGGAGGATGGGAGTAAGAGATAGGGGCAATCTTCGAAGCAGGGCAAATAAGATATACAATTAACAAAATGATTGTCTTAAAGAAGTATTACTTTTAAGATAGTTATCATTAATGTTATACGAGGTTGTCGCTGAACTCATACGTGGCACGGTTAAAGTCAATAGCTATTGGTTTGGACATGGTCTCCATTTTTGCCAGGTGCATACCGTAACACATTGGCGAATCAATTTGGCCCTCGTATTCAAAAGGTTAAATACCCTTTTTGGTCCCTCTACTATAGGAAAAAGCCCCTTTTTGATCCCTGTACCGAAAAAATCCCCTTTTTAGTCCTTAAATTTCAAAATCCGGTCCCTTTTTGGTCCTTCCGTCAGTTAAGTGACAGGGTAGCACTATAATCTGTTAAATATTTTGTCTTTTTTCTTTTTCATTGTTGACGTGTTATTACACGTCATGCCACATGGAAAAAATTAATGATGTGGACTAAAACCAACTTGATGGCATTTTTCTTTTTTCATGTGATATTTTTTTCATATTTAAATAAAAACTCAAATAATTTATTATTATTATATTCTTTTTCTTCTTCCTCCCTTCTTCTTTCTTATCCCTCTGCCCCTTCCTCTTTCTGACCCTTCTTCCTCCGCGAACCCAGCAAGGGGGTTCCGTGAGGAACCCAAGACCTGGGTTCATGAAACCCAAATCTGGGTTCCTCGCGGAACCCAGCAACATGAGGAACCCAAGACCTGGGTTCATGAAACCC